ATAAGAGCTGAGAGGATCAAGAAGTGACGAGGGTCATCATTGTATCAAACTAGTGGTAAACGTCATCTTTGAAATGCTTATGATATTCGTTAGCTAGAAATAATTTTGGGAAATCATGTAAAACGAGCAGTAAGTAAAGAGTGTTTAGGGCATGATATTTTCAGCTACAATCTTCTAGCTGTATTTAATGTTTAAAAATGGAAACAGCTTTAAGAAAAGAACATTAACGTGTTTAAAGTTGAACAAAATGACTTCATAACAAATTTCTTTTCTCAAAGAAAAAGAAAACATGCATATTTATTGAGTGCAGTGAAATGAATAATTACTTGTATATAGTACATATTTTTAATGAAATCTGAAGGATGGCTTTTTAATCATTCTATTTTTCCCTGAAGAGGTTTAATATTTTTTATATTTTTCAATTTTTTTTAATGAAAGTGAATTATATATTATTATTATGAATAAAGATTATTTGACACTTCTTAATGTGTAAATATCCTAAGTATAAAGGAAGAAGCTAAAAAAATAATATAATAAATAACGTGGTAAAAAAAACAAAATTAGAGTGTAACATTTAAGTTGTAAAAAAGGAGTAATATAATCAATTTTAAATATATGTTAAGCCAATGAGATTATATACACATATAGTAGTGCGATACTAAAAATATCATTACTTCATTGAGACTCTGTTGCTTCGTTTAATAAAAATATTCAAGTGACAGTATAAGTAAAAATAATAAATAATTTGATAATTTTATAAATTAATTAGGAGTTTAACTTTTATATCAATTTATAGTTAAAAAAATAGGCCTACTCAACTATTTTAGTACAAATCTATCGAAATGTAAAGTTTCAATTTTATACTTTGAGTTTAAATTAAATTTGAGTCTTTTTAATTCAATTTAATTAAATTTTTGCAAAAATAAATTTGTACGAGTTTGAATTAAATCTAAATTTTTATAGTTCAAATTACTAAAAAGTCTAGATCATCCTCTTCTATTTTAGTAACTATACTATCTAATTTTTTTAATTTAAGCAAATTGAAATTTACTTAAATAAATCTAAATTTCTTAGCCAGCCATACGCTTAAGCAAACCACATACACTCTTTTTCCCTTTCTGCTGAGTGCAGTCTCTCTTCGCAGCCATGGAAGGGTCCCCATAGACTGGTTGTTCTAAGAACATGATTGATTTGTTTGTGATGCAGGTCTACACCAATTTCTCTCTATTTTTGACGCAGGTGATCAGTATCTTCAATATATGTAATATTGAAACTAGAAGTGGCAGTGACCAAACGTAGCAGCAAATGATCCCTTCTGCTACTTCTCTTTCCATTTCCACACAGTTTCCATGACGCAATTCATAGTCCTTTGTACCAAATCACACCTTTCTCCCACCGCAACCCTTCCATGAACAAGGCCATGGCTTACAGGGTTCCCAACATCCAAGGCTTTAACTAACTTCGACAACGCAAACTGCATGAAACAGTTATCCATTCACTGCGCCAACACCATCAAAACCAACGACATAACTCTCGCACAACAAATTGTATGAAGACACTCCCATGGAAAGAAAAAGTGTGTGTGTGGTTCGTTTAAGCCAATAGCTAAGCGAAAATATATTATTTTTCTGAACATTTTACCCTTAAGGGGAGGATCTCTCCTAACTCAAATGAGTTGAATAACTTGTTTTACTAACTCTACTTACTTAATATAAATTTTGTATACTATTAATTAAATAAAAATTATCATACATATAATATTTTAAGTAATTATTATAAAAGTAAATAATAATATACTTATTTACATTATCTATATATTTTAATTTAAGTCAATAATAAATACATCGTGTATGATGGTATAAATGTTTTTTTTATATATCATTTAATAATAAATTATTATATCAGTAAAAATTATTAACTTTTATAATAATTATTTTAAAAAATTATAAGTTTTTAATTTATTAACAATATACAATTTTTTTACAAAAAAGTAATTTAATACAAATGAAATATATATTAGTTGCTATTAATAATTTATTCATTCCGTGACTTTAGGTCCATACAAAGAATAAATAAATAAACAATTTATTGTTGTTCAGAGAGAAGAAACAATAGAAAAGAAAAATGAATGCAAAGCATTAAATTTTTTCATGATTTAAATTAGTGTTTGATCGTTATAAATTTATTATATTTAAATTTTTTTTAAAATGATTAGAATTTAATTTTAACAAGTAATTAAAAAATTAACCTTAATGTTTTTTTTATAACAAGTTAGCTAATAACATTTTAACTCAAGACTAACACATTATGTATATAGCAATTTTTTATCTTTATAAAAAAATATTTTAAAAAATTAAATAGAAATTTAAATAAATTATTATTATCTATAAAAGTTGTTCTACTTAGAATTAGTTTTTTTTTTTACCAAAGTATAATCTTTAACAAATTAAATAAATAAAAAATTAAAATATGTTACTAACTTTTTTCTTTATTGAATATTTATTTTAACCTTTATCGATTAAGTATTAAGTTGATAAATAAAATTTTAAGTGGAGTATCATTATCTTAATTACTACATAATATTACAAGAGTATTTTGGATGAGATAATTTAAGTGAGTAATTATTTTTGAAAGAATTTATAATTTTATGAATTAAAATTTATTATAAGAATTTAAAATTTTAAGAATTTTAGTAAATATTTTTAATATACTAAAATTAAAGAATTCTAAATTTTAACAAAAGAGTAAAAATTTTATATTTTTATTTTTATTTATTGTATGTTATATTCATATTTTATTTAATTATGATTATTTTAATAATTTAAATTTTATATTTTAAATTAATTTTATCAAATATAATGATAACAAATTTAAATAATATAATTTATATTTCTTAAAATTTTAAACTCTCAAAAAATTTTAATTGCACGGTTCAAACACAATATGCATATATGTTCCAACAAAGAGAACAATATTAGGATGATACCAAGGGTGAGAAAAACTTTCCCCATGCCCCAATTTGTCTTCGACCGGTATCTCTAATCCTTGCCTACGGCTTTTCCCATCCCCTTTTCCTGTCTTCCATATGTCCACCGGATTTCCAAACTTATTACTGTTTGAAGACTGTGGATAAGGTTTTGTGTATTTTTTTTTATTTGACTTAAATTACTAAAATTAATAAGTAAAATGTAAAACTGTTAATTAAAAAAAAACACAACGAAAATGAATGTCTGGCATAATTTTAAAAGTTGTAAATTATATATTAATTATGATAAATGTATACTAAATACTTAACATAAGAATGCTAAAATTCGTTTAACCAACTTAATATTTAATATGTAGAGGTTAAACATTTTTACTTGTTTAATTTACTCAGAGGTTAAGTACTAATAATATTTTTAGAAATTTAATTTAATTTTAGTAATATTTTTAAGATTAAAAATGTATTTAAATCGTCATTTTTAAAAATAATTTTGAATATTATATATTAATTAAGATAAATATTTGTCATGTAACAACGTTATAAATTTAAACTTTATTGCTTAACTCAATACATAAATAAATAAAGATGAATAATAGAATTACTTTCTTTACTCATTTAATACGATACTCTAGAGCTACATGCTAATGAAAATTTTAGAAACTGATTTTAAGTACAATAATAAGAAAAGGCTAAAAAAAACTTATTGAGAAATCAAAATAAAATATTTTATTAAAATATAGAAATAAACTATTTTGAATGTATTTTAATATAATTTCTTTTTATAAAATATACTCTTTATTTAGACTTAGAATAGTGGTGAGCAAAATCGTATAATAGAAAATGATTGCGGCTAATGGTGAATTAATTCAATGCGTGACAGTTATTAGACTCATTTTAAGCTTGTTTGTATTACCTTTTCTCAAGTCGGTCAAAATTTTAGAGGAAAAAAAATTGTTTCATCTAGTTAGTTCAGAAAATGTGTTATTAAATTTGAAATAAATATTAATTGATTTCACCTTATTTAATAAAATTATCTATAAAATATTATTTTCTTAAATGAGATTTACTTAAATCTTTAAATTATTATGAAGAGTAATTTAAAAATAAATGAAGTTAATTACTATTCTTAATTAATGTGAATTAATTATTTTTTACTTGTATCAGGTCCAGAGGAATAAAACAAACGCATCCATGATTTTCATCATCGCAAAAATATAATATGGGCAAAAGCCTGGTAATAATATCTATCAAAATACTAAAAAAATAATATATGTTAAAATACTGGAAAAATATTTTGTGAAAAAAGAAACATAGATGATCCAAATTTTCTAAGTGAATTTTCACTAATATTTGAACAAAAAATAAAAAATATTTATTTTTGTTAAGATCACGAGTATCTTCTTTAGAAAACAACTCTGTTTAAACTGAATAAAATTACTATGGGCGGCAAAACTTTTTTTTTTTCCCGGATATACAGCTATATTTATCGAGATTCGAATTTGAGATCACATGTTAAGTTATACTAGCAAAAAGTGTATTTGAGTAAATAATTTAATTACATACTTATTTAATTTTTTTTATTATATGAGATTGTATAAAAATAAATTTAATTATAAAATTTATTAAAATAAAATTTAAAAAATGAAAATATAAATTATTTATATATTTTGGCAAAATATTATCTTAATTTAATACTATAATACTATCTTTTACATCTTAAAATAGTGACATGAAAATATCATGTGGATAAAGGAAAATGAATCATGAGAAATTCTTAATTTAAAAGGCTTTATGACACATTAAAAAAACAGTTTTTGTTATGGTATATTTATCTCTAGTGAAGAAAAGGTGGAAGTTAGCAAGAGGGTATCACATGCAGCCATCTCTGAACCGAGAGTAGCAGAAAAACAGGGATTGAATGCCAAAAAAAGCCAACGAGAGAAAAAGACAAGGGAGGCTCTATAAATATGAGGCGTTGTTCATTTTGAAAATTCCCGCAAATATTTGTAAGTTGTAACAGACAAACATCCAGCGCAGCATCCACCACGTCCCCTAATCAAATCTCTCTCTCTCTCTCTCATCTCTCTCGTTCCCTTTTCTTTCCTTATCCCACACTCATACACCATCCCAATCACTCCTCCGCCGCCGGCACATCTAGGGTTCCGGTGACGATGATTCCCTACCATTCTCTCCACGAAGCAGAGGCCGCTCTTGGCCGCAATCTCACCTCCGCCGAGAATTTCTGGTTCAACTACTCCGCCGCCAAATCCGATTACTTCCTCTACTGTCACAACATTCTGTTCCTCTTCCTCATCTTCTCCCTCGTCCCTGTCCCTCTCGTCGTCCTCGAACTCAAACGCCTCTCCTTCGTCGACTCCTACAAGATCCAGCCCAAGGTTCACTTATCCCTTCACGAAATAACCAAATGCTACAAAGACGTCATGCGCATGTTCTTCCTCGTCGTTGGTCCCCTCCAGCTCGTCTCTTATCCGTCCATCAAGGTTTTCTCTCCGTCACCGTTACCGTTACAGTTAGTTAGTTAGTTACATTCCGTTTACTGATTTTGATTTTGATTTTTTTTTATTTCAGATGATTGGGATCAGGGCGGGGTTGCCTTTGCCGTCGGGCTGGGAGATCCTGGCGCAATTGACGGTGTACTTTTTGGTGGAGGATTATACCAATTACTGGATCCATAGGTTCCTCCATAACAAATGGGGTTACGATAACATTCATCGCGTTCACCATGAATACTCTGCTCCTATTGGATTTGCTGCGCCCTATGCACACTGGGCTGAGATCTTGTTCCTCGGGATTCCCTCTTTTCTCGGACCTGCTCTGGTTCCTGGCCACATGATTACCTTTTGGTTGTGGATAGCATTGCGCCAGATTGAAGCCATTGATACGCACAGCGGGTAACCCGCTTCTTTCTTTACTTTGCCAATCCTCGTTAAAAGCACTTTGGACTGGGAGGATCTCGAATAGTGCCTTACTTTTTCTTCCTTGGGTCCTAGGATCTGTTTCACACTTTTTTGCTACTTATTTATTTATTATTAACATTTAAAACATGTTTTCTAACATTTGCAACAGTGTATGTGATAAGTTAATAAACAGTATTTTTAATTGAAAATTGTAGCATTTAATTATGTAATTTTCAATAAAAACTTTTTTATAATTTGCACTGTTGCACGTTAGAGAAGTTGTATTAAAAACTGTTGCTTCATTGTCATTTGTGTTTCTCAGTGTGTGATAATGAAAATTCTGCACAAATTATTTCTTTCTCTACTTAGAAGATGGTAATTTTTTCTGCTTATAAATGGTTGGCAAGTGCTGAAAATCTTTTAGGTAATGGTGATGGTTTTTGTTTACTCTGGCTTTGGTTATGTCTATCTTTACCACATTTATTTGTGCTGCATTTTAGTTGGATGCCCCTAAAAGGGCAGTTGATTAAAATCTACACAGGTTGTTAAAAGAGCAGAGCTGCAATTAGAGCACGTCAACATTATGTTCTTGTTTGTTCTCCTTGGTTCCACCATCCTTACGTGCTCTTGTGTTCTCTTTTTGAAAACATATAATGGAGTTCGTATATTATGTTCTCTCCCCTGTCCTAACCTATCCCCCACACACTATCTTAATAATATGGCTTAAACATAGTGATTTGTTTGCAAGTTTCCAATTTCAATGCAAGACAGCTCTTTGGTAATGATTTAACAATGTGAAATTATTACATTTGGTTGAGAGTTTGGTTGCTGAAGAAGAAGTTCCCTATGGACTTTTGGGAAGCTTTTGTATGTTGTGATCAATCTGGCAACTGGAAGTTAAATTGAAATTTGTCTGGGATAAACCTTTGCGAGTTGTTGCCCTAGTACATATAATGTTCTTAACCATGCCAAGAAAAAGATCTTTCTGATGTTTGCTGTCTCAATAATTAATAAATCAAATTGTAATTTGTCTTGAACAAACATTATGCATAATGTTTTCAACTACACAAAGAAATAAATCCTTTTGGGTATTTGCTTTCTCAACAATATCAAAAAATAGTACAGGTTAGTGCAAAACTGATAGCTAAACTGATTTCTATAAATCACTTCTTCAGTTAATTGTTATAGGCCCAATATCAACACTACAAATGTTTTGTTATAGAAGTGCTTGTGCCCAATTATATATCAGGATGATGGTTAATTCCTTGAGATGGAAATCCTTTTGGTGTTTGCAACTTGAATTTCTTAATAATTTCTGATATGACCTTTAGGAATTTAGTTGTGGTGACTCTTTCTTTGCCATTGATAAATACCAGCATAGTCCCTCCCCTCCCCTTTATGAGAAGTTTACTCTCTCCTGCATTGTAATTTTGGCACCTGACCTTTATATTGTATTGTCTACCTTATCATGTGTCAGGTATGACTTTCCCTGGAGTTTCACTAAATATATTCCATTTTATGGTGGTGCCGACTATCATGATTACCATCATTATGTTGGAAGACAAAGCCAAAGCAATTTCGCTTCAGTTTTCACATACTGTGATTACATCTATGGAACTGACAAGGTTATATCATGATTCTTGAATTATTTTGCTGAATAAATAATATCTGCATAGTTTTTCCATGTCATATTGATTTGCTATGATTCTACTTTGTTTGTCACAGGGTTATAGGTATCAGAAGAAATTGATTCAGAAGGTAAATTTATGAAGCTTTGTCACTGAGAAATGTGGTTGCATGGGGTCGCTTTAGTTACCTCAATAACATTTTATGTTGTTCAAATTCCTTTGACGCTTCTCTTTTTGTTTTGGACTTAATTTATTTGGGTATACAATATGCAATGATTGACTTTTTCCCCTATCTCGTTGCTGCTTTGTGCATTGATGTAGTTGAAGGAAGATTTGACAAATGGCATTGAGCAGAACGGAGGATTATACAAGGCACAGGATTATAAATCTGATTGAGACTGAAGCATCCTAGGTGGTATCAGAATGTGTTGCATGTTGACTCTTTGGAACTACCTAATTTCTTGTAGACATATCTGCTGGTGGTAAACTATATGTATTTGCTTAGCTTCAGGGTGGAGGTTAGTGAGAAAGGGGCTTTACAAATTGTGATTGTGTTAGAGAGAGAGAGGGGGGGGGGGGGGGAAGGAATTTCTTCAATTGTCATGTTTTGGAATTCAGACATTTGGTTTTATAATTATAATATGTCAGAATGTTCCCTCCCCTTTGTAAATTCTGACATTTGAAATAGGTTTCCTCTGCCGGTATGCAATTCGATAATTAGAATAAAATTTGGAAGTTCGTTTTCATAAACTTGTTACCGTTCATACACAAGCAAATGTCCTCATACAGTCCATAAACTTTTGTACAAGTCTTGAACGGTTGGCGGACGCTGCAACTGCTGTTGCGTCAGGCTTCAATTCCGTGGAGTTTGGGATAATGTCTTGTGGCGGAATTGATTTGGGATTGACACCGGTTAAATTATGCCATGTCCACGTTACCATCAATTTAGTATTATGTTCAAAGTGATTGCTTTTCTTTAAGACTACATTCTCTTAAAAAAAGGATCAGGAAGTCACGAACCTAAAATTATAAAACTTGATGTTTGACATCGAAAGCCATCAGTAGAGCCGATTTTGTTCAACTTTCTGCACAACCGATCATTTCTCAGTTCTGAGGTGTATATAGGCTTAAAGTTTTTGAGAAGTACTTAGAAAGTTAATATAAAAAATAAATAAATTTCTTTAATGAGTTAAAAATAATTTTTATTTTTTTGAAAGTCCTAAAAAGTTTTCATTTAATTTCTTTAAAATTTGAAAAGATAAGTTATTTTTAATTTATTAGAAAAATATTATTTATTTTTTATATTAATTTTTTTCTATTATAATAAAGTTGGAGTTTTGTTCTTTTTTCTTTTTGCTTGTAATTCAATTCAACCTTTGAATCTTTTACACCCTTTCCTCTTAATGGTTGCTTGAATCCTTTAGGTTGTGTACCCTGATTAGTGACATTATTTACACCATCATCCCTATTCTTGTCATTATCTTGTGTTTATAAGAGAAGCTTTGTGATGTGGCCCACTAAAGTATTAATATTGTCATCAACTAGTTGGCAATATTCTTCCACTTATATGTCTTTTACATTGTGAATAATCCCACAACGGTCTTCTGTTGTTTATCTCTTTAGTATGTATTTGTCAGGAACAGTCTTTACATCATTGGCTTCAAACACTTTCAAAGCATGACAGCAAAGTAGGCCCATTGTTTCAAACTTTTTACAAGAACAATTGATAGTAGTTGAGGAACTATCAAATGTAACTGTCTATGACCTTTGTTGATTGACTTTATTAATTACATATTCAATCAAAGAAGGAGTTTCAATCCTTAATGATATGCAACATGCCAAAAATTGAGCAAACTCTTGTTTAAATAAATTATACACTGTATGTGTGTAAACCTTGGCCATTTGTATTAGGATTGGTGACACCTCATATCGCAACATGACTAACTTATGACGAGAGTCATACTCACACTTAAACTCGTTATAATGCTTGTCTTCAACAACCCATTTAAAGTGAGCAAAGAATTGCTTAATGTCAACACCAGGTTTCATACATGTCTTGAAATCAGAATTTAAGCTTTCACTCAGCTGAGTACTTCACATTCTAAGGGTTAAACAATCATTCAGATAACATGATGCTCATTTCTCTTTTATGGAATACAGTGAAGTAATCAAACTATTTTGTTCAACATTGTATTCTGTAATGAACTTTGTCTAAGCCTCCTCAAAGTCAATTAAACTATCAAAGTCATACATGCATCTTTTCAAATCTCTTAAAAAATGACTTCCTCCTTTCATTAAATTGTCAAGGTATTTTATTCCATTTTACATTAAGTGCCATGTGCATAATGCATGATGTGTCTCTGGCATTACATGGACAAGTGCTTTGGCCATAACTTGATCTTGATATGTAAAGATTGTTTGCAATTTTTTGTTGTTGTGTACTTCCAAAAAAGTCTCAAACAACCATTAAAATGATTCAACTGTTTCATCGTACAACAATGCTGCCCCAAAGATAACAACACCTCTGTAATGGTTAAAACTGAAAATAATGCCAGAGACCTATTAGCTCGATTGGTGCAATATGTAGTGTCTAGTGATACAACTTCACCAAAAAACCCATAATCAATTATCATCTTTGCATCCGCCCAAAAAATATTTATGATTTGCTCCTCCTCATCCATCTAGTACACATGGAAAAAAGCTGGATTGTCTAGTAATTGCCGTTGAAAGTATTGCATTAGACAATCAACCTCACCGTATACCATTCCTCTTTGTCTTTTTGCTCTAAAATAATTTTTTGCGTCCAGTCGAGTCTACCCAACATTAGCTCGGTGTTCTGCAAGTGTAGTCATTAGTTGAGATGATGCCTTTTGTCGCAATCCAAAAGCCTCAGGCAAATCAATTTCATGAGTTTGGACTTCAGTTATATTACGATGTGAAGCAAGCATATGCATTGTTTCGGGAAGTTGTAATGGGTGATTATGCTCTTCAACAAACTCACGAATGACATATTTGTTGTTGTTTGTCAAAGACAATGATATCCTTGCAAGACATTCAGTTCTAGTTTCTGGTTGATGTTTTGTGACTTGGAGTTTTCTTTTATCTTCTTGTTGATGTCCCTCTTTACAACAAACATATCTGCAACCCGTAATGACACCATCTACCTTTTGCTTGTTAAAATATTGTTTCCTGACTCCAAATCCTGACAGCTTGCCATATTCACACCAAAATCGCCATACTTGTTCAAGACTCTCAAACTCTTGCCCTATAGTTGGTTTCCTTGCGACATCCATTCTTCAGTCCAATAAAATAACAGTAAACATGATAAGTATTTATTCCAATAATGTTAAATAACAAATGTAATGGTAAAATGTGCACTTTTAGTATGTTTGAAGACTTTCTTTGTCACAATCTCACCAGAAATAGAGTTTAATGCTACAAATTTGTGTTGTTTATCCTCACCCTAAGTGTGAAATAAGTCCTTACTAAACTTCAACAATGATAATATCCTGTACTTGAATGTTTTACCAAGAGCAAAAATCGAAAAAACCTCTTTCTTCAAAAATAAGTAACCTAATATATCCTTGGCACAAAAAATCTTGTAAAAATTGCTTAAGCCATACAAAAATCTCTTAAGCCTTATTCGCTACACAATCCACTTAAGTTAAAAATTTAGCTTAAGTGACTTTTCGCTTAAGCGATTGAAACTCGCTTAAGCAAAATACGCAACTATTAGTTTTTAAAAAACTGGAATCACAAACTCTCATTTCCATTCCAAACCTTTCTATCCTTCTCTCAAAGTTCAAAGTTTTAACCTTCCCCAAACGTCTCTTTTCTCACATTCAGTTCAAGGGCAAGCTTCCATTTTTAACTCAGGTACATAACGAATGCTTAAGGTATGACTTCAATGTTGTTATTGGTTGCTATAAAATCACTTTCTCTATTGCTTAAGCGTCCAACAATGCTATTATTCTTAGCTTTTGCATGAGATTATAAGGCTTTCATGTATTGAATACTGTGATATATGAATGAGATTAGCATTATTCTGTTTATGTTGGACTGATTCACAATATTAAGTTTAGGGTTAGTTTTACTGCCTCTGTTGGAAACCTTTGCTGGAAGCCTCTATATTTTTCGCTTAAGCGGGTTGAGGTAGCGAAAATTGAATCATGGGGAAAGCTAAAGGTTGAAGCTTTCACTTAAGCGACAAAGTCCAACTTAAGCGAAAAATGCAGAGGCTTAAGCGACAAACAGAGCTTAAGTGATTTTACTTTAATCTTATAATTTGTTTTTTGTTTCAGGATGGCACCAAAGAAGTCTATTCCTCAAAGAAAGAGGCAAAGACTTGAAGTTGGGCAAACTTCACAACAACATGATGAACCTACTGAACAACATCAACAATCACAAGCTCAAACTGAAACAGAAATCATATCATTTGATAGATTTAGGTTCAAAACTAGGGTTAAGGCTTAGAGATTTTTTGACTTACAATGTAGGGAATTGCTACCTGAGAGGAAGGTCTCTTTAGAAGAAGGACAATATGAAGAGTTTTTGCAAGAGATTATAAGAAAAAAATGGCAATTCTTGGCAAATCTCCCTAATCAAATTCGCGAGGTAATTGTCAAAGAATTTTATGCAAATGCATGGCCATTGATCCCACACAAGTCAGATCAGAAGTCTTGGGTTCGAGGACAAAATGTTGCTTATGACAGAGATGCAATTTCAGCACTATTAGGCAACCCTCTAACCTTAGGGGAAAGGGAGCTATGCCAATACCAACAACATCGAGGCTCTTTGTCAGGTTTTTCAAATGACACAGTAGCTAACACCTTATGCATCCCTGAAAAATCCTATGAAACAAATGCATCGAAGAAGCCAATGCACTTCAAAAGACTGTCTTTGACTACTTTGGCCCAAATATGGGCATCCTTTCTCTTTACCAACATAGCCCCAACCACACACACCTCAGATGTCCGGATGCTCCCAGCATATCTGATATATAGCATCATGAAGGGGATGTCTGTTGACATAGCAGTCATAATTTCAGATGAGTTGCACCAGTTTGTAATGTCCAATACCTCTAGTATTGCATCAACAACAAAACCTTTAGGATTGCCATCACTAATCAATGCTCTATGTGCTTCCCAAGGTGTTACAATTCCAGACACCTCCAATCAAACAATCAGCTTGAAGAAACCAATTAATTACCAGTTCATAAAAAATTATTGCACCAATCCAATGGAACAAACGGTAGGAGATTCTTCTCAACCGTCTTCGTCTGTACCACCTGCATCACAACCACGAACACGACCATCTATGTCTGAAGCGCCACAAACAGATCCAACTCTCATATGCCATCTGACTCATATAGAGCAACAATTGGCAGCAAACAATCGTGCTTACACTTACCTAAACGAGTCCTTCTACAAGTAAATGTTCTCTTCTTTATTATTTTAATTACTCTTGTAATTTTTTATTTTACCATTACCCTCATTACCTTCATCATATCTTTCCACAGGTTCACTTTACACTAACATCATGGTCAGGAATATGCTTTCCTATGGCCCACACCTGAGGCTTTTGCAAAAGCTGTATCATGGGCTGGAGATAACCCTACATTCACATTTCAACATGAAACTACACAGGATCTAGATCGACAACCAAAGGAAGGACTCCACAACGACATTGAGGACATTGAGGAAAATGATGGGAGAGATGTATAGGAAGGTCAACAATTAGAGGAAGAAGAGAGACATGATGAGGGAGATGAGCCACAACCCATGCAAGAGGATGACAATGTTGGACCCACATGAATACAACTAGGATTTTATTGTAATAGACTTTAATGAGTCAACATTTTGTGTTATGTTATGTAATGGATTTCATTTGTAGTTCTTCAATGCTTATTCCTATAGTTCTCGTTAATGGATTTCCTTTGTAGTTCTTTAATACTTATTCCTATAGTTCTCATTAATGGATTTTAATATTTATCCAAATTGGTAACCTATATCATATTTCATTGTTTTGTGTAAGATGTAAGTTTGAAAAATTTATACGTAATCAAGTGTATTTTGGCCCCTTGAATGCTATCTGTATTAGGATTATGTTGGATTTTCTGTACCTTTCGCTTAAAGGACCAACTTTCGCTTAAGTTAAATCTATTCTGACTTGATTTCTTTTGAACGTGGCCCAAGCGCGTATATATCAGGTTGTACAAGTTAATGCATTTTCTGATAAATTTGCTTAAGCGGATAAAACTCGCTTAAGCTAAACAAGTTTCGTTGGATTTGTAAATGCTAGCTCAAGCTTCACAAAAATTCGCTTAAGCCGTTTAAAATTCGTTCTAGCTAATCACACTAGCTGAAACATGTGCTCTCTGTTTTACATTCGCTTGACAATAATTAAATTCACTGGTCTTGGCTTGAGCGAGGCAAGAATAGATTAAGCGATTAATGATTAGCTTAAGCAAAATAAGTGAGTGAAAAATATATCTCTTTGGTCCATTTTTACTTAAGTTACAGAGCTTCGCTTAAGTGATTATATCAGATTATACAGGTTAATGCATTTTTTGATACATTCACTTAAGCGGATAAAACTTGCTTAAGCGAAAAAAAATTTGCTGAATTTGGAAAACGTCAGTTCAAGCCCTACCAAAATTTGCTTAAGCCATTTAAAATTTGCTCAAGTTAATTACATTGCCTATAACGTGCTCTTTGATTTATTTTCGCTTCAAATTTTTCTTTTTCCCTTTAGAGGGCTTAAGCTATTTTAAATTTGTTTAAGCGAATTTTGCTTAAAAGTCCCTTGTGAACTCGTTTAGGCGGGCTTATGAGTGTTCAAGCCTCTTTCGTAGAGTGAGAAGGAAATTGAAGCCTGTTCCGACCAGACCTGCAGGCGATCGGATCCATTCTAAGGAAGACGAACCCAACGGTCGATATGTACGGCACTTCTTCATTCCATGTCCTCTTCGATCGCTCCCAACTTGGTCCCTTCTCACTTGGACACCAAAAGATATAAAAGAGAAAGAGTAAAGAACATTGGAGGAAAGGAGGATTAAAATTGAATGGCCAACAATGAAATTCCCCCAAATCTGAACTGGGACATTTGCCCTAACTCATTTCCCATTAATCGGATCCTCCACTTATCACGACCAAGATGGAATCGCCCTTTGAGCAGCCACTCGACCGGCTTGAGGCGCAGCCTACAGTAATCGTCTTTGATATATTCTTGTATTGGATGGTTGCTGTTGGAAAGCGACCGAATATTCCAGTGTCATAGCTTTGGACCATGTCGGCGTCTATGTTCTCTGTGCTCCACCACCATCACCTTTTGGAACAAAATGGGCATTACCCCGTGAACTTGTCATCCAAAAGGAGAGGGACTTTGCTAGGATTTGAGGGAGTGTTCCTTTTTTACTGGGGCCTTTCTGGAGGACCGGGACTGCTCTAATTGGAAGGCCTTGAGTTTTTTTGGCGGCGGCGGAATGAGGAGGTGGGTTTGGAAGCGGTGAAGAATTGGGTGGAAGGAGATTGGGCGGAGGGGAGGAAGGGCGGCGTCTGGGGTTGTGAACTTGGAGGTGTCTTTGTCACTTCACGCATCATTGTATCTTAATTTGTATTCATTGATAAATTACGGGTTAGAGAATTTTAATTTGCTGATATTGTTGTTTAGTTTCTTTGAATAGTGTAAATGTATCAGCATTCTTAAGTGAGAAGTATTTGAAAACAGAGGCATAAAAATCATTTCTATTGTGTTGTAATGGATCCTCAGATGGACTTCATTCTGCAGGAATTGATTTGCATATCTTCTCAAGTTATAGTAAATTGCATTAAGAGTGCCACTATGATAAGGGGCCCAAGGCCTAAAAACAACTCTGATCCAATTTATTAACAGGGACGGAGAAAGAGGAGAAGCCTTACTAAATGAATTATGACCGTCCTTAATATGTCTAGATTTTTTTTAACTATAATAAAAAAATATTTATCTTATATAAATTATTCTTAATATTTTATTAATTTTTTATTAATCTATGTATTTACTCAATTAATAAATTTTATTAATAAATATATATAATTTTAAATATGAATAATCTTTGACTTAAATATAAAATTTTTAATATTTTTAAAATTTATGGTTTTTTTTTATTTAGTGACTAATTCTTCTCTAAACTTAAAAAGTACTAATGTTTTAGTTCTCATATTTTGTTCAACATTGTTAATATAGGTAATAGTAAGAACTAAAATATAAATAATAGAGATTAAAATGTAATAAAATATTCGTATAGAAATTAAAC